TAAAGATCCTTTGATAAATTTTCTCTTGAAAAACAGAACTCTGTTTCTTCAGACATTCTTTTAGATCTTCTGTAGAAATTGCAGAACTGTTTTCTTCAGAAATGTCATATATTTGGTAATTCATATCTTCTGGTCCTAAAATAATCCCCACAGTTGGTTCTCTAATGCCAGTAGGATTTCTTGTGGTTTCACAAGATGGAGAATACATCATTTCATATTCTTTACACATGTCTTCTGAGAGCTCTGTATTGCCCTCAGTCTGAGGCCCTGATGTGGCTGCTGTTTCATGCCAAGAGCTTTCAGTTTTGTGAGTTACAGGAGTGGCATCAGGATTTCAAGGAGGAATTTCTTGACATACTTTGACATTAGGATTTAAACCAGCCCCTTTGGATGGCACCTGCTCTACAAAGAGCAACATGTTTTCCTCCACCCAGACCAGTCGTTCCTGCCACCGCTACTGCAACTGGCTAGAATAAAATCTTTTCTTGGCCAGTAATCTACCAAAAAACTGAAGGTCATCCTTTGTACTGCACAGTAGTTAAATGTGATTATTGTTTGTTTGACTCTTTATGAAGAGAAGGCTAAAAAACTGCTTCTTCTTTAAAGGAAAATTGGACTCAGGCTTAACTTTCTTACTTATTAGTCTGGAAACTCCACAAAAATGGGCTTTTCTCTGGATTTAGATTTAAAATGACCCATGACAGGTGGCTGAGGAGGACTCTGTATGAACTACAGAAGCCTGTGGCAAGCTATAGTGTGGTTCTCCTTCAGTGTGGTGGCTCTCATACTGAGTCCTCTAAAGCCAGAATGTTGGAGTCATTACAAGAGAGCTTGACTTCCATTCGTGTGTGGGGCTAAGCCACAGTGGCTGCTACACCCACAGCTAAGCTGTCACTCAGGGCCAGTAGCAGGCATTTCAGTAGGCTATTGTGTAGACTACTGCAGCAGCAGTAGTTTTCCTGGGGAGTCCAGGAAAACAATGATGCAGTGGGGTTTCATGTTCCTTGTCCTAGTCTCTCCTAAGTAAACCTGAGGCCAATGTGGCTCTGGTTATCTTGTGAGTCTATACACAGACAGCAGCTCTGGGGGAGGGGACTTAGCCCTTAACTGTCCTTAGACATCTCTCTCATGGTACGTCTGTCTCATTAACCATCATATCCCCACTATACAGCATGGTGTGACATGTGATAGAAACTCAATATGTTTGTTTTTAAAAACTGACAATGGACCGAAAAAAATTAATAAATTTAATTACCATTTTGGAAGTCTTTGTAAACATTCATTAAATCAGGGTATTCCATCCTGTTGATTTCACTGAATAATGCTTCCAGAACTTCCATGTCAAATTTCTTCTCCAGTTCATTGAGAACTTTGTATATCACTTGACTTACAGGTATTAGGCTTTTAAAAGACTCTTGACAATCCTTAAAAAAATATTGAAGGGAGAAAGTTTAAATACAAGCTTCCAAGTTATAGAAGAGCCCTAGAAAGTAATCTTATAGGGGCTGGTGAGATGGCTCAATGGAATAAGCACTTCCCTGGCAAGCGTAAGGGCCTGAGTTGTTCAAGCCCCGGTTCCACCAAAAAAAAAAAAAAGAAAAAAAGAAAGTAATCTTATAGTCAATACATTTCAATTTCCCTATATAGGTATTTTCTTGTGTACACCTTTAGAATGTTTATTCATTTGTATAGCTACTAAATTGAACAAGTAAATATTTCCTTAAAAATACTGACTTGTGGGCCTGGGTGACAGCTTGGCAGTCTAAGCACCTGCCTGGCAAGAGCAAGGACCCAGGTTAGATCCCCAGGACTGCATGCTGTGCAAGCCCTGGAACCCCAAGCATGCTGAGCTGGCCACCAAAACCGGGCATGGTGGTGCACACCTGTAATCCCAGTGCTGCGGAGGCTTACACAGGAGGATCATTATGAGTCTGAGCTGCATAATGAGACCCTGTACAAGATAAACAAAAGATTTAAAAAAAATACTGATTTGTGAAGTGGGGCATAGTGATATATGCCCGAAATGAAACCCTAACACTTCAGGAGGTTCAGGCAGGAGAACTGTGAGTTTGAGCCCAATGTGGGCAACTGACTTTGCAAGACTATCTCAAAATAAAAAACATAAAGGAGTTGGAGCCACAGCACACTGTGAAGCTTTTAGTTTCAATTCTCAGTAGCAAAAAAAGAAAAACAAACAAGAACAACAAAGTATCAGTGAGTCTGAGCTCTTCCTGATTTACACTACATGTGTGGAGTGATCTTAAAGGTTACAGTGAACTCAAGGTTATGTGGGTGATAGCCTAAAGCCAGGACGCTCTGGGAACAGCCTTAGTACATCACACTGGCTGGGCCTGAGGGGCTGAAGGAAATTAGGTGACCATTTTCTCTCTTGCAGTGAACCTGACCACGAGAAAGTAGGCTTATAGGACCAAAGAAAGATCCATTGTTGAGAATTTCCATTAGGGTCTATTGGTAAAATTTACCCAAATCTTAACCAGAAGTCTAGAAGTGCAGTGGGAAAAAATAGTAGAAGGAGATGTAAAAAAATGTTATAGAAAGCATGTTATATATGCTCTGTGGATTGCATTTAAAGAAGCTCAGTAAGATTATTCATCAATCCATTAAAATTATTTTTAACATTTAGTTTATGTTACATTGGGTTGCATGGGTTACCATGTATAAAATCTACAAGACATCACACAGCAACAGAGTACACCCATTTGTGACCTGGGTTATCTCTAGCACCAGTTACCTGGCCCCAAAAGGTACTCTGGGATAACAGTCCTTCCATTAGAACCAGGGAATATCTGATGTTCTCCTTTTCTACCTTTCAGGAGTATTTACAGAAATATGAGAGAAGTACAGAATAATAGGAGATGCATCAGTCAGCTAAACGTATCCTGAAGTTTGAGTCTTCTGCATAAAAACATGAGTTCATTAGGAGCTTGCTTACCAAGTTGTGCCACAACAAATTTCACTTACTTCATACATTTTGTTGGTGATCAGCTCACGGTCACGGAGAGCCTCGAGGAAAGGAAATGACTTCTTTATTGCATAGGAAATAAGTACTTTGCGTTCTCTGAAGCATCTGAGGACAATCTTCATAGGGTCCTCTGCATCTTGGGCATCTGGGACTGTCCTAGAGGAAAAGGGTATAAAAGTGGTCATCAAGATTCTAAGGTGCGTGTAAGAGCTGCAGGATTTTATATGTTGATAGGCTGTGAGGAACCAACATATATAAAATAGGTGCTCCTGAGCAGAGTTACCTAAATATCAAATCATTTTTTTTTTTTTTTTTTTTTTGGAGGTAGGGAGGCAGAATCAGGGATTGAACTCAGACCCTTCTGCTTGCCAGGCAAACACTTATTCTACTGAGCCATCTCCCGGGCCCCCTGAGAGTTACCTAAATAAATGGAATTGAAGCAATAAACAAATGTGTCATACTACGAAGTTATGAATAACTTATATGTAGTATAGGACTTTAAATGTCCAGTCTGTTCTCGCCAAAGCCAATTAGAAAGATATTTGTCACCTAGATGTTATTAAGATTGTTTGAACTAAAGTATTTAATGTCTAAAAAATTAAATTCCTAAAAAATTGAGAAGAATTTAGTTAAATATAAATTCCTACAAAATAAGGCAATAAGATACACTAAAATAAAAATGAGATTCAACCTTGAAAAATGTATCTTAATTAGCAATTAAGAGAAAATAAATCTTGGAAAGACTAAAAGTAAAATGTCCCTCTTTGAGCTGCAGTTGTAAAGAGAGAAATATCATCCTACACTATAACATTAATTCAAAAATATATACTATAATTTAACAGCAATGATGCTGTTATGCTTTGTGTCTAGGTGATCCCCCAAAGCCTCATGCAGTCATGGGTAGTTTCCAAAGTTTGTGATGAATTCATGATCCAATGCTGGGATAATAGGTATGATTGCTCCCCAACCCTGGGGCGAGTATTCTGCATTACAATGTGAGCAGGACAGAGAGGCTTTCTAGAAGCCACAGCCATACCTCTCTTTTCTTTTTGCTGTTTTCCACCAATGTATGCAGGCTTCTTTCTGTTTTATGCCACTCAGGCTTGGAGCCAACCAGGTATGGACTGGGGCCTCCACTAACTGTGAGCTAAACAGACCTTTTCTTCCTTCATTTTAGGTGTCAGGTATTTCACCCCAGCAATGTGAGAAAGATAACCAAGACAGAATTTGGTACCAGAGAAGTGGGGTCATTGCTGTGACTGCTTGATCATGTGGTTTAAGAGCCTGTAGGAATGGCTTATAGAAAGAGATAGAAAGGGCTTGGAGATGTCACCTCAAGAGAAGCACTAGAATACCATAAGCTGTTCTGTATGGCAGATTCTGGCCAGAGCTCAGAAGACCAGAAGCCTGATAGAAATCCTGCCTATAAAGACCAGGCTGGGAGGTTTCTTCTGGGAAGAAGGACTGAATTGGTTGTTGGACTCGAGGTGATATGTGTTATGGCTTGGCAGAAAGTTTGTCTACATTTTTCTCATGTTCAGAGAATTTGCCTGAGACTGAGATTAAACACAGCAGACTGGTTAATCTTGCAAAGGAAATTTCAAGGCAGTCAAATGTTGAGGCAGTGGCATGGTTATTGTTGAGAGGTTTCAGTCAGATTTGTGTTGAGAATCATTATCAAAGAATCCAGCAGGATAATTTAAAAGGTGAGTTTGGCCAGAAAGGAAACTCCAATAAAGATGTGGTCTACAATGATAGAGCTGAAAGGATCTCCATGGCTGAGAAGGAACAGGAGAATAGAAGGGTAGCCTGAGGGCAGCAGAGGAGGTAGCATGTCTCCACTCTTTGCAGCCTCAGAACTGCAAGGGTGAGGGACTTTGCACTGAGAAAAAAGCCACAGAGCACCATGTTCCAGAATGGTGGCAGTGGCCACACCAGCTTCGAGAATGGCAACGGCACTGAGAATTTGTTCCTCAGAGTCTGGTTCAGAGTTATCGGAAATCCAGGCACTCGACCCCTACAGAGGAGAAAGAGAGAAGACAGCCTGGCTACTGCTCCAGCTGGCAGCAGACCTTGGCATCATCCATGTGGTGTTGGTTTTAGGTGCAGATAAAATGCAGGAGTTCTGAGGTTAAGAAGGCTTCCATCTTGATTTCAGAAGGCTTAGGAAACCAGGCAACATGCCCCTGAGAGGATAGTGTGTGAAGCAGAGAGTGAGAAGCTTAACATGCTGTGGAAATTTGGAAAAGCCAGGATCATAGATCATCTAAGAGAAGCTGCAGGGAGGGAGCAAAATTGGCCTAAGAGAGAAGCCAAGAGTGCTACCATTAAGAGTGCCATAGGGGCAGAGCCACATGGAGCTCACACTTTGCCACAGATTGCTTTGGATGTTCCACATGGAACTACAGGACTTAATGTTTGCCCTTCTGGATTCTGGGCTTGTGCTGGTCTCAATGACTTATATCCCCTTTTTGTATCTTTTGGAATGGTAATGTTTTTCTTGTGCCTTTGAATGCTAGAATTGTTTCACTTTTCATTTGTATAGGGGCTCACAGCTAAGAGTTTGCCTTAGATCTTGGAGGAGACTTGGGACTTGGACTTTTCAGCAATGCTGAAACTGTAGGACTTTGGCAACTCTTAGAGATGGACTAAAATGCCTCTAGGTGACCCCCCCCACCAAAGCCTCATGCAGTCATGGGACAGCTTCTAAAGTTTGTAATGTATTCAGGATCCAATGCTGGGATTGTGGATGAGTGCTATGCCTGCCCTGGGGTGGGTAATTTATATTACAGAGTGTGTGTGTGTGTGTGTGTGTGTGTGTGTGTGTGTGTGTGTAGAAGCCAGAGCTGCTGTCACTCCCTTTGCTTTTTGCTGTTTTCCACCACCATGATTGGCTGCCCTCTTCCTTGTACAACTCTGCCTAGGAGCCAGCTGAATATGGACCAAAACCTCCACAAACTGTGAGCTAAATAAACCTTTCCTTCCTTAATTTTGAGTGTCAGGTATTTCATCCCAGCAATGAGAGAAAAGTAACCAAGACAGATTCTATGATAAATACAAATTGAGAATTTCCAAGAATGTTGATGAAATTTCCTATGGAATCTGGTTCTGATTTGTGTTAATATAATTCTATACCATTGTTATATATAGTAAATCTTTTTGGGCACTTGAATTTCAGAAATTACTGTTGTTTCCTGTGAACATGATTTTAAATCTGAGCCTAAAATCTTGATTAATAGTTAAAGAGTTTATTGCTCTAATAATATTTTAAGCAACATCTTGGTAGTTGTACGCAAGTGCTCTACCACTGAGCTATTGACCCAGACTATAGTTATAAGTTTTATGAAAACTGAAATCTGTCTTTGACTAACCAAAAGAGAACCATGGACAATTCCCAATGCTCAACCACAAGGAATTATAATGATGATGATGATGATAATAATAATAATAATACCAAATTATTATTTTGAAATTCTGTAAAATAAATTTCTGGTCAGAGATTAGATTAAAACAGACATTTGTCCTCTTTTTTGTTAAAAATAAGTTATTTCACTGATAACAGAATTTAGCTTAAGGATGACAAAGACAATGGCAGAGGACAATGAAAGAATGAGAGTTTTTAACCAAAATCTATAAGATAAAAATAGAAGCAGTCAGGGGAATCCCAATTGCAGTTGGAAGTAGAGGAATCTTCCAGAAGTCAGCAAAGAAGCCAGAAGGGCTGAGCAACATGGAAGAAGGAGCAGAGACAGGTGAAAAGCTGGTGTGTCATCTGAGTGTAGAACAGAACCATGTGCCTCAGTCCCTTCAGCCATAAGTGGCACAGGTAGGCCACACATCCTCCTAGGGACAAACTGCTGTCATCTCCATGTGCTAATCTTGCTGGTACTGGATTTCACGTAAGAGGAAAAATGTGTCTTTTGTGCTATTGTGTCTGGCTTTGTTTTCTCATCACCAATGTGGTCATATTTAGTGGTAGCCTGCTTCCTGTCATTTTTCAGTGGTGTTCCACTGTGTGGACATAGCAGTTGGTGTACTTACTTTCTTTTGATGGGCTTGGATTCATTCTAAGTTGGGATTGGTATCAGTAAAGCTTCTGTTCTTGTATGAGTGTTTTGGGGCCAGAGGTTTTCATTTCTCTTGGGTAAATATCTGGGAGCTGGATTATGTAGGAATATATTCAACTATTTCAGAACTTTCCAAACTTTTTTCAAAGATGATTAGACTTTCTAATGTTTGCCATTCTTGTGTGTGTGTGTGTGATATAATTTCTTGTTTTAGCTCCAGTTTGTATTTCTCTAATGACTAATGATGTTGAACACATTTTCATGTTTTTTTTTTTTTTAGCAATTTTTAAATCTTCCTTTGTGATCTAGGCCCATTTATATGATTGGTTTATCTTTTACTTACCTATGTATAAGTATTTGTAATGAATAGAAATATTTTTCTGATTTGTGTATTGTAGATACTTTCCCTCATATTTAGCTTACTTTGTATTTTAACTGTCTTTAATGAGAATTTTAAATTTTGATGAAGTTCAATCTATCATATTTTTTTCTATGCTTAATGACTTTAGTATTTAAGAAATCTATCTCTTTTTAAAATATGCACAAATTCATTTACAATGTTTATAACTTTGGTCTGTTTCTGGACTTTTGTTCTGTCTCTTCTTATGTCAATACCATTTTGAATTGAGTGCTACAGTTTAAAGAAAGTTTTGAAGTCAATTAGGAAGAACTGTCTTAGGTTTTCCTTGTCACTAGTTTCCTACATAACTTTAGAATCAGTGAGTATCTATAAGAAAAGCCTTCTGGATTTAGACTGGGTTCCCACTGAACATGCAGACAAATTTGGTGAGAAGTGGCACCCTAATATTATTGAGCTTACAGTCTGTTAATATTACATATAGCTCTCCATTTGTCTTCTTTTCAGTTTTCGTAGTAGTTACGTACATCTTTGATTAAACTTATCCCTAGTTATTTTATTGGTTTTGGTGGTACTTCATATAGTAGTGGATTTAAATTGCTTGGTATGATTGCATGGAAATAGAATTTGTTTGAGAAATATTAACTATTGATGTGTGACCTCGGTAAATCCACCAAAGTATTGATAAGTTTTTGTCTGGCTTCTAAGAAAATAACTATGTCATCACCAAA